TAATCGAAGTTTAATGGAAATTTATGGGATTTCTTGCGATCCAACCATCAACAAAAATGGGATCAACAAATGGCTTGCTTTCACCCATCGCATTTCACCATCTTTAAGGTCTTGACAAAGGTCGCAGTCAGTTTGAAAACGGCACGGTCCGATGATCATGTCGGTTGGATTACACCCAACTTATGGCCATGAGCAAGTTGGAATATGATGATTAAGATGTACCCTCTGGTAATTGGTTGATGATTAAACATGAACATGATTAATATGATGATTATTTATGATGATTAACATAGCTATTTAAGATACCCATCTTATGAATCTTGAAAAGTTGATTTGCCTACTTCAAATGGAGATTTTCCATAGCTATGTTAGTCAGAGGGTAGATTTTAGCAGTATACTGTGTTTTTTTTGCACAAACCAATAGTACATGTACATTTATGCCGTGTCATGTTCGAGTTTGGGATATTGGCCAAAACAAGGGACTGCTAAGAACCATACAAGGGGGACTCCGATTATAAGTTGGTTATAATCCCCATTAACTATACTGCACTACAGATCCACCATAGCCTACAAGGTCGGTCCCACTAGACAGCTAAGTTGGTGCAAGTATCTGATTTGACTATAGTTGATGTATGTTGATGTGACATGTTGCTTTATGATATTTATAAGTATATATATATAAGTATATAAATATACTATTCATGGGTTTATAAACCAGCTATGACCAACTTATCTAGGGGTTCCCACCTTGTAGTTCTTCTTATAAACCAATTTAGGCATTGTTTGTTGCGTAGCGGCCTATTGAATCAATGTGAACACTTGATGGATTCAAATATATATTGTTTTTTGTTTTAAATGTGCAACCAGAACAATGAATTATCAACATAAAGACAATATGATGCATTAGTCATCAATTATAGAACAATGAATTATCCACAATGACTACAGTTTTATGTTTGTTGATGGACCAAACAGCCAAAAAACTATTCATCAATCCCAGGAACAAGTACCGCTAGTAAAACCTACAAGAAAACTCAATCATGAGCTGTTTATCAACCCAGTTAACTATAGATAATATAATATAATATAATATAATATAATATATATATTATATATTTATATTTGTATACACACATATCCACCATAAACCCAAACGTTATTCTTGTGAGATACCCTCTGGTAATTTGTTCCATAGTTATTGAACATCGCCCATGATTGATGGTTTATTTTGCTATCAGCATGGTAAACGTTTCCCAGAGAGTACCCAAACGTGATTCATCGTGAATTACTGGCAGCTGGCGACGGCAGGTCGCCTCCTAGACATGGCGGATATCCACCAGGCCCAAAAAAAACAGGAGTCGATGGGAGATTTAAACAGTCAAAAAAGGAGGAACCATGTTCACAATAGTACATTTTTGGGTGATTTACCAACTATAAAATGATAAGGATTTGACTGGATATAATGGGAGATATGATGTGTATATATATATATGATTTATATATACATATATATATATATGTACAAATGATGTGATATGATACATATATAATTAATATTTATATATATATACCTTATATTTATATATAGATAACCCACTTAAGTCAACTTAATGTGATTTTGGCTGTGTATGGAAATTGGGATAGGTATACCACCAAACATGGCTATAGTCTTATAGGGGTACCGTATTTTCAGACGAACGCACTTTTTGATATGTTGTGATGTACCCTCCAGTAGACTAGCGGAATTGTGGACAATGGCCTATTTAGTTGGATGTGTTCTTTTCGGTTTTCCATGGCACTGCAAATTACCAGAGGGTATGTTATGACGTAAATGATATGCATGTGGTAGATCCAACTGAACATGCCATTTGAAGATGATTCTTGCAGTCTATCTATGGCTATATTGTGGGGATTGTTGTGGATATACTTTTGGACTGATGGCCGTTGGGTGAGTCATCCTCACATGGCCGAACTTTGTACATAAGAGGAACCCCGGGTTGCAGTCGTGGCGCTGAATCATCTTCAGGCAGCCGCAACGTAAAAAAAAAGGATGAGACAAATGGTTACAAATGGTGAGATATTCCCATCATATTCCCATGAACCCATGCAGTCATGGCCATTTACCAGTTATAACTGGTGATTTCAATGGGATTATACATTCTATAAATGGGGTGACTTGTTAGTACTTATAACTGATAAATGGCCATAACTGTGAGCCCATGAGGTTTTCCCATCAGATTCCCATAAAATCACCACCGCCAGCGAAGTCAGCTCGACGCTGGGCAGGTCCCCATGGTCCACCTGCTGGGTGTGGCAGCCGAGACAGGGAGCGATGTTTTTGGTGTGGGATAACCATGGGAGAACCAAGAAAAATGGTGATTTATTGGGATTTAATTGGGGATGTATAGTACACATCATGGCAGAATTTTTGGAATTCTGATTTTGAAATAAATCCTTATGATTTTTTTTTGGAGTGGTATTTGGATGTGGGTCAAGCACAACTTCAACCATGTTTTCCGGTTCGCCAGAAGTTAATTCGACCCCTATAATTAGTTCCTGCTTTAGTGCAGAACCTGATGGTATGGTTTGATCCCAGTTGTCATCAAAAATCGTACAGCTTAAGGATGTGTTGTTGCATTCTCCCCATTATGGGCGATACAGTTTTATTATGTCAAGTGGTATTATTGTATTATACATGTTCCTGTCCATGATCCACCAGGTAGAATGTAAAGCATAAATGTTGGTGAAATAAACCCATGATATCACCAAATTTATGGGTTATTTTATGTTATTTTCACCAAATATCCATAATATAACACCCATATTACACCCATTACATCTGGATGGGTGACTTCACTGGAATGATGTTCAACGGTTCAGGGGATTCGTCCCCATAGCTGGCCGTATGATACCAACATTTTTCATGTTAGCGAAATAAAAAAATAATTCAGCCAGATCCCAACATATCCTTCAAGAGATCTCACTAAATCGACAAACAATCCCATTAAATCAGCAGGTTTCCATGGGTATCCCACGCTATCCCATGATGTGATGGTTGATGCCTTCAGCCATAGTCACCCTTTGGGTCACCAATGCCCACAGAGCTCCGCCATTGACCAAACACCGAGATACGAACATCCACCACCACATCGACCGTAGGGGGTCTTGGGGCATTTTCTTCGGTGGGGATGAGAGATTCGGATGCACCTTGACCCTGAATCAACAAATGGGGTGATTGGTTGGTGTGTTAAAAGCTGTGTGGTAGAAGCAATATGTTCATGGATCAGTTGAGGGTCAAGCTATAGACATGGGAAGTGCCAGCCACAATTATTAGCACTTTGGGCACAAAGGATGGATTGTTAATACGTCTTGGTTCATGGCCATGGCTAAGAAATGCCAAGAATTCTTATCTGAAACAAGGAGAGTATAGGTGGACCCTCGGGATTTCTTAAGCAGTTTGGAACCAGGGGGCCATGCGGCATGTGAGAAATAGGCTACTGCAACTAAGTACGCATACAAAGAACGCATCACATTCCCCTTTTCTTCAACAACCCCTCCCCACTGCAGGCCATACGATCATCCACCTCCAGATGCCTATCCGCCCCACGGCTATCCACCGCCGGGCGGTTCTGGGTATCCGCCGCCCCACGGCTACCCGCCGCCGCACGGCTACCCGCCCCATGGCTACGGCTATCCACCGCCGGGCCACGATGGCCGCGGTCCGCCGCCGCCGGGCTATGGGCCACCGCCCCCCGGCTACGGCTATGGACCGCCGCCGCCGGGGTATGGGCCGCCACCACATGAGGGGCCGCCACATGGGCACCCACCACCAGGAGAGGGTTGACATGGCTTGATACTGGATTTGGTGATGGAGTTTTCTGGACGAAGTGGGAGCCAAGGGCCAAGGAATATAGAGGGATTGGTAAAAGCAAAAACACAATAAGGACAATAAGACTATCGACCTGGAGATGAATGGAAATGATGCATGGCAAGGGTTTGGAGTCCAGGTAACCCCAAGTAGGATGAAAAGATCAAATTGGGTTCGAGGTTATATAGCTGCTGTTCCGGAATGGAAAGGCATGCCATGAAGGAAGTAAACAGTTCTTGGTATTTACCATTGTTGGAGGTTGGACAGTTTGGGCTGATCACATCTGGAATATAGAATTCATTTTGTTCGGTGTTGAGTTGGCTGATGAAACAAGCTGTGTTTCTGTTTGCGCATTCCAATTGAAGCATCCCCATGTTTAGGTATCCAACTTCCAATTGTTTCCTCATGACAAAGGATTTTGGAAACTTGAAAATATGAAGTTTTTCTTATTTGTCATTCATCATCATCCAACTCTTTCCCATGACAAAAGATCACCGGTTTTCAATTTTTGCCCCTATCTGAAGACTCCGTGCGGGCCCCAAGTTTAGGCTTTCCAGATGCCCTTGATGTCTTCGCGCGCGACACCGTTTGCTCAAAAACACCAAGCCCTCAGGGTCACAGACAAGTGAGAATAGAAACAACTTACAGTGTTTATAACAGGAATGTAATGCCGGAATGATTGTGATACATATGTATATATATATATATATACATGATACATAATGATACAATATATATATATTTAATATTAAAGGATAGGAATATAGTATGATGTGCCCATGTTATACTTAATTCCATCCCTTCATGCCCTCAGATTGGCAGGTGTCTTGGACCCTTTTTTCGCCTTGGATTGGTGCACTTTATGTAGGTATCCCGAACTTGGATGATGGGAAAATTTTAGCCAGGAACCCCTAAAAAACTGATGGTCAAAACCATTGGGACATCGGGTAATGTAGAAAAGCCATCCATTTTTTTCGGTCAATGTGGTTGATTGTTGCTGAATATGAATCCTACGAATCCTTTTTCGACTATCGGGTGGTCAGCTGTGGTTCAATTCAATGGGCCAATTGGAGCTACATGTTTTTCGCTTCCCAAGGATAGACACAGCCAGTGAGGTCTGGGATACAACTCCTCTGGGATCGCTCTTCGCTGATGCCATGGATGCACCAACTCTGCAAGATGCCAAAGTGGTGGTACCTCGGCGTCACAAGGACCGGAGGTTTTGATTTTTGGATGATTTGGATGATCTGGCCATCTGGCGATGTATTTTGTGGCAAGTCACACATTGGAAATCCAATCCAGTCCCAAATAAAATGACGGTGAGTTAATAACCATATAAAGGTTTCCTACAATAAGGGTACCCCAATATCATCCATGTTAGTAAGATTTTCCATTATAAGCCATCCTTTTTGGGGATCCCCCATTTATGGAAACCTCCATATCTATGTTTGTTGAGTGGACGGCATCACAAGACTTGGACAGTTCATGATGATCGTGGATGGCAGAGGTTCTGGTACAGATGTCCCACATGGCATGAAGTGTTTTAGGAGTTTTAGCACGGGTTTTAGTAGCACCAAAAGAGATAGAAACGTCATTCATCAATGTTTTTTGTAGGAGTTTGAGTTTCTTGGGGGTTATCATGATGTTGGAGGTTTTCTGTATCAAACACTATCTTATCACAAGCTGAAAATTATCATCACTGTTCTATGGTTTTTACAGTTATGGCCATGGCTACCAGTTATAACTGGTGATTTCAATGGGATTATACATTCTATAAATGGGGTTTTGTTAGTACTTATAGCTGGTAAATGGCCATAACTGTAGGGGTCTTGCTATGTTCTTGTTGGACTTTTTTGATTTTCTCGAGCTTGTGATTGATGGCCGGTTTCAACATCTGTAGCTGGCTTCTGGTTCCGGTTTCATTCGGGCTGACGTGGGAAATATCCTCTGATTATTTAAATGTAGCTCTAGAAAACAATCAACATCAACTTTAATAGCCAGATGCGAACCATGGTGCTGGAATATTTACCTACATTTACCCTAAAAACGACGGAAATGTAGGTAAGTATTCCAGACATGGAGCATCTGGGATAGGTAAATCATCATGTTTATCATCTATAGATGGGTACCTTTTGTAGATCTTCGGGCCCTTGTTAGCCCTGGTGACAGATGATTAGACCTTCATGGCAACGTGGAACCCCAAGTGTCCAAGCAACCTAGTTCTCCTACAGGGCCCGGTACCGTAACCCCATCAGTGCCAACAAAAATGCAAGCATTCGGAGAAAAGATGGATTCTGCCTGGAAAATTTGCTACTCTTTACCAGAATCGGTCAAACAAGTGGTTGTACACCATATATACATGGTCATTCTCCTTAAATCTGGTTGGTGGTTTGGAACATTTTTTATTTTCCCATAATCTATGGGATGTCATCCTTCCCATTGACGAACTCATATTTTTCAGAGGGGTAGGTTGAAACCACCAACCAGAAATGGGTGTTCACATATATTTGCACCATATTTACCCTCTGGTAAACTAACATAACTATGGAACATCACCATTTTTAATGGGAAAACTCACTATAAATGGCCATTTTCAATAGCTATTTTGACATAACCAGAGGGTATAGCTATGTTAAATTACCAGGGGGTACCTTTTTTGTGGGAGGGAGGTTGATCATTCCTTTCATTTTACATAGGTCGCTGTGTGGCTACCACCTGATGGAGTCTCGGCAAATGGTGAATGGTGGCATCATAGGCAACTCCGGGGGATCATACTGTATATACAGGTGATTGCATATAATTATATATATGATATATGTATATGATATGTATATATATATATATATATATGTATATGATATGTATATATATGATATGTATATATATATGTATATGATATGTATATATATATATATATATGTATATGATATGTATATATATATGTATATGATATGTATATATATGTATATGATATGTATATATATATATATATTATACATTGATCAATCATGACCTATTGTTGAGACCCTTAACCTGAGATGGGAGGGCGGTTGCCGTTGGGGCTGGCGGTTCATTTTTCACATGGCACCATGGCACCAGGTCCAGAAAGCTTTCATTGGATATTCCATGGTAAGAACCATGGCAACTACAGTGATGGCCATGGCTACCAGTTATAACTGGTGATTTCAATGGGATAACAAAGATTCTATAAATGGGGTGACTTGTTAGTACTTATAACTGATTTTTATGGCCATAACTGTAGAATCCAATGTCTCATATTCGGGGGTAAACACATGTTTTTTTTTTAAGTGTTTTCGGTGAAGGTTTCCCAACAAAAGCATTTCAGTGAGCGAAGTTTGTGTGGCTACGTTGGACTTCATCCCTTCGAACCTCTTCGGATGGGAAGCCTTTGTCATGTCCTCCCTTTCTTCGTCATCCATGCGGCAAGACTTGGCATTTTTGTTCAGCTGTTTAGACGCAGTTATACAGGTGTTTCAAAAACTACCTTTGAGGTACCTGTCCTAGTACCCAATTTAAAAAGATGCACAAATTTCCTAGCTGCATTTGGATGTCTACTTGGGTTTGTGTGAAAATAGGGTAATGAAATTTATGTGGTTGGTCATTCTGTTCGTTCTTCCTATTACAGTTGCCATAAAAAAAAGGGGGTATGCTAACCATGTTCAGACAGCCAAAATTTCCATTAAGTTGGTTATATATCCCATTACATCCTAGCAAATCCTTATTTGTACAGGTGGTAAATCGGTAAATCACCGTAAAATCCCTATTTTGATCATGTTCAAACACATCGATTTGGAGAGTTCAGGTCTATTCCAGTCGTCTCACAGTGGTTTTCCTCGAGGCAACGATGAATCTCCGAGTCTGGCAGAGCATGGTTTGCAACATCCTTTAGATGTGCCAGGCCCCGGACGTGCCCTTTAAAAGCTGCCAGGAGCAGAAAAAATATGGGGAGTTCATATGGGGAATTCATGGCGATTTATAGGGATTGAATGGGATTCACTTAGTGAAGTTGCTGGAATTCACTAGAAAAAACCTAGGGTTTATATGGGTTTATGGTGATTATAAATATAGATGGGTAATGAATCAACTTAAAACTGGGGGACACCACCTTGCTGGGTCTGGGTCCACTGATCCTCCGATCTTGAGACCCATAGTGTACACAGTGTAGCCCAGCGGGGAAATGATGGGAAATGTAGCTATCGTCGCAGGAGCTATTTTTCAGCATGATATTCATGGTACCCATAGATTTTCCATGATTCTTCCAATAAACTGTTCATGAAAAAACGGAGTCTGTTCACCATTTTCCAATGAATGTTCCATCATTTTCAAGTTATATGAGTAATTCTGTGTATCCAAACTCCCATAGAATGAATGACAAACCATAGAAATCCAATCATGCATTATTTTATGTTGAGATCATTTGTTCCAATTATAATCGCACGGAATTTCAACCATCACCCGTATATAATTTAATCCGCTAATCCAACTGTGGATATTCCATTTCATACCTGCCAATAATTCAAACTGAGTAACAACTAGTAATACCATATGATATTAAAACCAAATATATCACGCTGGATATACATATGATCATATATCAGATATATCCCCTCATATTTCTACGTATAATTATATATATATATACATACATTCTATATAAATATACATATATAATATTATTTCACAGGGCCCACGACCCCCCCCCCAGCAAAACCCCCCCCAGAAGTATGGTAAGATATGGATAAGGATGAAACGGTTGATAAGGGCCAATCAGTGGTGTAACACACTCTTAATACATGCTTATTAGCGATTTGTGGTTAAGGGCTGAATAAGGTCTTGATAAGAGATGGCTTTTCCCAATAAAATTGAAATTTCACTATTAGAGCCTTATTAAGAAAAATCTTGTTTTTGGGGGTGTTGTCCAACCAACAAGACAAAAAACTGTATTAAACCTTATTAATAAGAATAATGCATTCCAAAACCAATTTTAGCACCAATAAATCACACAACCTTAATAACAGTTTATTAAGGAACTCTGATTTCTGACACTGCTCATGTGCGTTTGACAAAATATGGGAGTTGGACAGAATTCGAAAGGTTTGCTGTTTCTGGTTCAGAGAGTTGCAATGAGCAACCCAGCTCAGCAATTTTATCGAGTTTGAAACCAGATCTTAAGATGATTTTTTTTGCTTTTTTTGTGCTTATTTTTTGCTTTTTTATTTTTTTTGCATGTGTGTTCATTTTTTTGTTTTTTCTTTTGTTTTTTTTCTAATTTAGGTTTGGGTTGGGTTTTACTTTTCTTTTTTCGGGGTTTTGAAACATCCCACTGGATAAAAGTTAAAAAAGATTTCGATAAGGTCTGAACAAGGGCTTGATAAGGGCTTGATAAGGGGTTGGATCAATGTATTGGAATGAGATTTAAAAGATTTTTTTTTGGTGCTTATGTTTTGCCTTTGTTTTGCGTTTTTTGTGCTTATTTGTTTTTTTCTCTTTTTTTGCATGTGTGGTCATTTTTGTTGTTTTTTTGTCTTTTGCTTTTTTCTAATTTAGGTTTGGATTGGGTTTTGCTTTTCTTTTTTCGGGGTTTTGAAACATCCCACTAAATAACAGTTAAAAAAGATTTCGATAAGGTCTGAATAAGGGCTTGATAAGGGCTTCATAAGGGCTTGATAAAGGGTTGATAAGGGGTTGGATCAATGTATTGGAATGAGATTTAAAAGTTTTTTTTTGGTGCTTATGTTTTGCCTTTGTTTTGCGTTTTTTGTGCTTATTTGTTGTGTTTTTCTTTTTTTTGCATGTGTGTTCATTTTTGTTGTTTTTTTTCTTTTGCTTTTTTTCTAATTTAGGTTTGGATTGGGTTTTGCTTTTCTTTTTTCGGGGTTTTGAAACATCCCACTAGATAACGGTTAAACAATATTTCGATAAGGTCTGAATAAGGGCTTGATAAGGGCTTGGTAAGGGCTTGATAAGGGCTTGATAAGGGGTTGATCAGGGGTTGGATCAATGTATTGGAATGAGATTTGAAAGATTTTTTTTGGTGCTTATGTTTTGCCTTTGTTCTGCTTTTTTTGTGCTTATTTGTTGTTTTTTTTTCTCTTTTTTTGCATGTGTGTTCATTTTTGTTGTTTTTTTTCTTTTGCTTTTTCCTAATTTAGGTTTGGATTGGGTTTTGCTTTTCTTTTTTCGGGGTTTTGAAACATCCCACTGGACAACAGTTAGAAAAGATTTCGGTAAGGTCTGAATAAGGGCTTGATAAGGGCTTGGTAAGGGCTTGTTAAGGGCTTGATAAGGGGTTGATAAGGGCTTGATAAGGGGTTGATAAGGGGTTGGATCAATGTATTGGAATGAGATTTAAAAGATTTTTTTTTTGTGCTTATGTTTTGCCTTTGTTTTGCTTTTTTTTGTGCTTATTTGTTGTGTTTTTCTCTTTTTTTGCATGTGTGATCATTTTTTGTTGTTTTTTTTCTTTTGCTTTTTTCTAATTTAGGTTTGGATTGGGTTTTGCTTTTCTTTTTTCAGGGTTTTGAAACATCCCACTGGACAACAGTTAGAAAAGATTTCGATAAGGTCTGAATAAGGGCTTGATAAGGGCTTGATAAGGGGTTGGATCAATGTATTGGAATGAGATTTAAAAGGTTTTTTTTTTTGGTGCTTATGTGTTGTTTTTTTGTGTTTTTTTTTGTGCTTATTTGTTGTTTTTTCTCTTTTTTTGCATGTGTGTTCATTTTGCTTGTGTTTTTTTCTTTTGCTTTTTCCTAATTTAGGTTTGGATTGGGTTTTGCTTTTCTTTTTTCGGGGTTTTGAAACATCCCGCTGGGTAACAGTTAGAAAAGATTTCGATAAGGTCTGAATAAGGGCTTGCTAGCTCAGCTATTGTTTTTTGTTTTTGTGTCGTTTTTGTCTAATTTAGGTTTGGGTTGGGTTTTGTTTTGTTTTCGTGTTTTTTCTTTGTTTTGTTTTTCTTTGTTTGTTTGTGTTTTTTGTTTTTTCTTTGTTTTGTTTTGGTTTGTTTTTTTTTTCAAATTTAGGTTTGGATTGTTTGTTTTTTTTGTTCCTCCTGTTTTTTTCTAATATTAACAGATCAACCTCTTGAAACATTTTTTCTTATTAAGGCCTTATTAGCAAAACAGGGTCTCAAACACCTTTTTTGACGCCATCATTGCCTTCACACCAAATAAGGTCTTATTAAGGAAAACCTGTTTTTTAGGCCGAAAAAAACCAGACTTCCTTATTAAGCATCTATTGCGCTTCCGGGGGGTTTTGCTGGGGGGGGGGTCATATTTCTACGTATAATTATATATATACATATATACATACATTCTATTTGAATATATATATAATATAGTATATTATGTATAACATAATATATAATATATAATATATTATATAATATGTAATATATACTATATTAGAATATAATATATAATATATTATATATTATATATTATATTCTAATATAGTATATATTAGATATTATATAATATATTATATATTATTTATTATATATTATATATTATGTATAATATATAATGTATAATTCAAAATATATAATATATAATATACAATATGTAATATATAATATATAATATATAATATTTTATATGTAATATATAATATATAATATTTTATATGTAATATATAATATATAATATAATATTATATATATATATATTAATATATAATATATTATATTTAATATATAATATATAATGTATAATATATAATATATAATATATTATATATTATATATATAATATTTATAATATATATATATATAATTTATATAATATAAATATATGATATATTATATGTAATATATAATATTTAATACTTAATATTTAATATAATTATACACCAAACCATGCAAAGTGACCTCAACTTAGCCCCTATCTTTGTTTCTGTCACCTTGACATGGTCACAGAACTCCTGCCGGGGTCGCGGTCGTAGGTTGGAAGAGCCTCAGCGACGGCAGTCGCTTGGGTCTGGTGACTTCGGCTGACGGCAGTCGCGACGTTTCGGAAGCGGAGCAACTGCTGGAGCGCCTTGGATCTTTGGTCAACTGACATAGCTGACATAACTTACATAACTATGGGAAAATCACCGTCTTTACCAGGTACATCATGGAACATCAGCATGTTTACCCTGTAAATCTGGAAAATCATAATTTCAAAAGGATTGCTATGTATTTTTGGATTTTTTTTCGTGGCAGGTTTTGGATTTTTTTTGGGGTTCCTGGTTCTATGCTTTCCTGTTTTCTCTCATTTTCTGCTTCTCTGCTTTTCTGCTTCTCTGCTTTTCCTGCTTCTCTGCTTTTCCTCCTTCTCTGCTGTTCTGCTTCTCTGCTTTTTGCTTTCCCTGCTTTTCCTCTTTTAGCCAATCCGAAGTCTCCGACTGAACCTCAAGAGGACAAAGCCGAAGATGCAGGAGATTTGGAAGTCACTGAGCCTCCTGAAAAGAAAGCTCGAAAGTCCATGGAAGAAGAGATGGGTCGCCTTATGAAGCGAGTACGAGAAGGTTTTGAGCTTACATCATCGGCTTTGGACAAAGTCCAGCAACACCTGGACATCAGTCGTCAGAATAGTAAAGATTTGACACAGCTGGCGCAGGAAGTCCACTATGACAAGGTGGGGGCAAAGTATACACTTGCCCAAATGCAGTCAATGCTGAGTTGCTTTCAGAACGTTGAGTGGCAGCTAAGTAGCTTTTCCTGCTTTTTTGCTTTTCTGCTTCTCTGTTTTCCCTGCTTCTCTTCTTTTGTACTTCTGTACCTTTCTACTTCTACTATTCTACTTTTTCTTTTCTTCTGCTCTACTTCCTGCTCCTTTGCTTCTTTGCTTCCTGGCTTTACTGTCTCTTTGTTTTTCGTTTTTGTTTGCTTAATTCTGTTCTGTTTATCCCCAATGAAACCCTAGAGAGACCCTAGGTGAAACCCAAAAGAAACCCTAAAGAAATCCTGATAAGAAACCCTACATGGAAACCTAAATGAACCCTAAAGAAACCATAAATGAACCCTGAAGAAACTTTAAAGGACACCCTAAATAACATCCCAAAGAAACCCTAAACAACACTCTGAAACAAAAAAACTACATGAAACCTTAACTGACACCTTAGCTGAAACCCTAAATTGAAGAAACCCTAAATGAACACCTAAATTGAAACCCTAAATGAAACCCTTAATGAAACCCTAAACGAAACCCTAAAGCAACCCTAAATCACCCTAAATGAAACCCTAAAGGAACCTACTTGAACGTTTAGAAATCGTGAAAAGAAAACCTTTTTAAGAAATCTTGGAATGAAATCCTAAAGAAATCTTAAATGAACTCCTGAATGAAACCCTAAATTGAAACCCTAAACTGAAACCCTAAATTGAAACCCTAAAGAAACCTTAAATGAAACCTTAAAGAAACTCTAATTAAAACCCTAAAGAAACCTTAAATGAGACCCTGAATGAAACCCAAACTGAAGCCCTAAATTGAAACCCTAAATGAAACCCTTAATGAAGCCCTAAACGAAACCCTAAAGAAACCCTAAATGACACCCAAAATGAAACCCTAAAGGAACCCTAAAGGAACCTACTTGAACGTTTAGAAATCGTGAAAAGAATCCTGATAAGAAACCCTGGAATGAAACCCTAAAGAAAGCTTAAATGAATTCCTGAATGAAACCCTAAATTGAAACCCTAAATTGAAACCCTAAAGAAACCTTAAATGAAACCCTAAAGACACTCTAATTAAAACCCTAAAGAAACCTTAAGTGAGACCCTGAATGAAACCCTAACTGAAACCCTAAATGAAACCCTTAATGAAACCCTAAACGAAACCCTAAAGAAACCCTAAATGACACCCAAAATGAAACCCTAAAGGAACCCTAAAGGAACCTACTTGAACGTTTAGAAATCGTGAAAAGAAATCCTGATAAGAAACACTGGAATAAAACCCTAAAGAAAGCTTATATAAATGAAACCCTAAAGAAACCCTAAATGAAACCCTAAAGAAGCCCTAAAGAAACCCATTTGAACGTTTAGAACTCCTGATAAGAAATCCTGATAAGAGACCCTAAATGAAACTCTAAAGAAACCCGAACCCTAAAGAAACCCTAAATGAAACCCTAAATGAAAGCCTAAAGAACCCTCAAGAGACCCACATGAACATTTGAAGCACCAAAATGTAGCAAATACCATGCAAATGAGAGGTTGAAATGCCAAAATATGACAAATACCATGCAAAATGGAAGGCAAACATGGCCAAATGTAGCAAACACCATGCAAAATGCAAAGTGACCATGCCAAAATGTAGCAAATACCATGCAAAACGACAGGTTCTAGTTCCAAACTGTTGCAAATACAACGCAAATGGTACCGGGAAAGAACGCCAACTAAAATCCAAAACCTGAGGCAAAAAAAACAAAAACTATTCTACACCCTTTTTAAATCGGTAAACTATAGATGAATTATGTTCAAGTTCATGTTAACTGTTAGTTTACTGGAGGGTAGCGGTCATTAAAACCCCATGCTTGTACCTATGGTTGGGAGCAACCCTGATGCTAAATCTTGATTAATGTTGAGCATGGTTATGGTCAATAATGTTTACTATGGTTAAACTATGGCTACACTGTTGCAGCTCCCAGAGTTAACATGGAACCCCAAATTCAAAATGATCAGAACATAGTCTTCCAAGCCACATTTTTGCGGTTCCATCTTAAATTTAGGAGTTGTAAAGATGGCTTGTTGATGTTTGATGAATTATAGTGGTCATTCATTTGTTTAAAGTTTAAATTATAGTGACCTTACTGTGACGTCACTGGAATGCTGGTTAAGGGGAACCAATCTGGTGACTTGGATTGGAACTCGCTGCGCAAGAGATGTATCCATTTAGCCATTCGGCCGGTTGGGTACATCCCCTGCAGTTATGGCCATTTATCAGTTATAAGTACTCATAACCCCATTTATAGAGTGTATAATCCCATTTATAACCAGTTATAACTGGTAAATAACCATAACTGTGTCTTCAAGGAAATAGGCCTTATTTCACATTGACGCAGGAGGTGCGTAGATTGATTTCGCCACTTCACGCCACTCCATGCCACTTGAAGTGGCACGAAGTGGCATGAGGTGGCATGAAGTGGTTCGGTGTACGACTTGCTGGTCGATGATCGTTTCCCGAAAAGCTTGCGCGCATGGGCGCTGTTGCCCATCTTGGTCATGGAGCAGCTGGAAAAACGGCACCACCTGCCACGCTTTTTGACTCAGCCAACTGATCGGAAGATTCAACTGCATGCCAATTTGGCGCCGGATGCATACAGCGATCCTGGCAACGTCGTGCTAGACAAGTCACGTTTCATTCTTCAGGTTTGGAGATTGACGACGACTTTGGGCATGAATGAGATCTTAGCCATTCCATACAAGCAGTACGGGGAAATCGGAGAACACAGTGGCAGAGTTTCGATGAACTATCGTGGAAATTGGCTTGAAAGTTTATTAGGGTGGTCGCAGGAGCAACGCAGGGGCAAAGTTCCTCCTGGCTACAACGCTGGTAGAGTGGTTTCATAATCCATCCATTTGTTGATGATTGTTATATGCAATTGAGCGTTAAACGCTATTGGGGAGCCAAAGACTATCGCAAAGAATTTGACACACACACACACAATGTGTTCTCAATCTTCTACTAATATGCTCTAATCGGCGGCGGTGTGCGCCGCCAAGGTGTCACATAATAGGTTGGTCCGACAGTCTTTTTTCAAAAAGGGCAAGGTTCAGTAAGCGCTGGAATTCTAGGAGGGCATGAGTTGAGGGATTCTGAAGTGGCCCCCCCGAAAAGACGTGGTTGTGGCATGCTGTGCATTAATAGGATGCGTTAGCTTTGGAAATCAATACTGCAACCACCTGTTGTGATTTCAAATCCTCCATGTCCGGGGAGGGTTTAAAGTTTAAACATGCTTAAGCCGTACTAACAGCCTGTTTTTGAATATCATACTATTACTGGACTTATCATGCTATTTTGTTTTAAGCCACCGAAATGGTATGTCCTATGAAACTTCGGTAACCAAGAGGATGACCTATTTCCTGGCGTATTACGACTGCCCGCAAACTAACAATAGATTAAGCATCATTGTTGAGCCCATTGCTTTTTATTACCAATAATGAACCATTAGCCAGCCGTTATGGTCATCCTCAAGAAGATTTACAAACAGCTCAGCCCCATTAAAAGGATCAAGAAAAGCTTTTCGATCTATGTGGGGATGACTGGAATTAACCGCTAATTACCATTGATTTCCATGTGTTCACACATGATTACCATTAACTACCACCAGTTAACCATTAATTCCCATTAATTACCATCAAGTACCAATAACTAACCATGAAGTAACCGTTGATTTACCATTGGTTTGCCATTACTTTACCATTGATGAAGCATTAGTTAACCATTATTTCCGGGGTAGTTGCTATTGAGTACCATTACTTAACAATCAGTTAACCATTGTGGCCATCCTCAAAAGGTTAGAAAACATGTACAGTCCCACTACGAGGATGAACAATTACTGACCCCGATTTATTTGGGTATCAGGGGATGAACATGATTAACCATCAATCATCAATCAACCATTAATTCATTATTAATTAACCATCCGTTATCCATTAATTTATTTTTAAGTACCAATAATGTATTGTTAGCTACCATGTCATCCAAATAGGTATATGACAATCTGTAGTACATTATCATATTCGTTGTTTTTATTACCAAATACAGCATATCTACGCTTTCTAGCGGTGATTCGATGACTGATTACTAGCTAATTCTCTATTGATGGTCTATTGGAGAGTTGGTTTTTAATGTTATCCCAATCATGGCAACGCCGTGACCTTGGAACCATTGCATTTCTAAGTGATGGAATGTCATTAGATTGGCGATTTCTTTGGTATTCTCACAGTCGCTATTCGCTTCCCATGCCTTCGATCAAAAGACAATAATCATTAGGAAATATTGAAGTTACCATGCGATGGTTTCTGCCCAGTAAAAATGAAGTTACCATACGATGGTCTCTGCCCAGTAAAACTTGCAAAGTCGCTGCAGCCTTCCACCATCTTTTCCCTGACGGCTAATCATCTTCCAGCTGGTAGATCTACCTTCATATAATCCTAAGACATCAATAATAAGAGAGCGCGGGCAAGGGGAAATGCCGAGTGCTGGACGCCGCTCCACGCCACTTCCCGCCACTCAACGCCACTTGAAGTGGCATGTGCCACTTGAACTGGCACGCCACTCGAAGTGGCATGAAGTGGCATGACGTGTCAAATTCAGTTTCCACCCTCGTTCGCCCGCTCTCTCTTATTTCAGGTTTGTGAATGAATGTGGGTAAAACTATGTCAAAAAACAATCCATTTCTGGCACTGGTTTATACTTACCACCTACAAAAAATATCTATTTATGATGATTTGGGGGATGGTTTATGGCATTGTTTTACCCACATTACTAAAATGCACCTCCTCCTTGCCAAAAGTCGAGTTGCCAGGTGCCGGAAACGCGTGGATTGTTTCCTGCAGACGTGTGGATGGCCTCATGGTTGCCATCGTGGGTTGCCACAAGTCGAGGGCGTCTGTTGTGTGATTTTTTGACAACGATAATTGGTGGTTTGCCAACAAGAATGGTCATCGAACAGGATAATTCTCAATGTGGTTAAAACATGTTAAAACAACAATCATTTACCCATTTGAGATGGTTTATTTTTATTTCAACCACATTAATGGGATTTAATGTGGTCATAGTTGATGGGGTTGATTCTTTTTGTAGCTTCCCCATGTGCTCCGATTTGACCTTTTTTGTTGGCCTTCTTTCTACAGGAGCCTTGAACAACCTTTACTCTTGGCAAAATTCATGAGTTAAGGCTTTGTCTGAAAATGGGGTGCCCTAAAATCCATTGGTTATCATCATTGTTCATCGGCGATGCAAAACCTTTTGATACTTGTAGTTAATATATACGTCCCGATTGAGCTGTATCAAACTATATCCACATACTGGTGGTGTGATGATATTGAATGATATTGACCTATATCAACCATTCTTTGCGTGTAAATTGCCAATCTATGGACAACCCCATGGTACCACAGCGTTGTTAAATCATACTTTCACCTGCTGCCGCCACCTATGTTTCAACATTAATCTGGGGACCTCACCGCAAATGATGGTTTGAATATGGAGAATCATCACCTTAAAATGAAGTGTTTCAGACTTGGTAATTATGCGTATATATATATATATGTAAATGAATAATAAATAAATATATATATAGCTTGATTTTCAGATTGTCATTTGATGTTCGTTCAGTTATTGTTCAACTATTTTAGATATTTGTATTCAATTATATAGTGTGATTAGTATTAGCCTATATTAATGTGTATATATATAATATATTACAAACTATATATATATATACAACATTATATATAAATATACAATATATAGTTCATGAGATCAGGTGTTGAATAGACAAATCATGTGCAGATGGATGTTTTTGAGTGAGGTGCTTTCATTGGCGTTTCGCACCTAGGACAGTGTAAACTTTATGGAGGTTCATCCCCCAGATGCCCGTTTTGCCATTATTCGAAGTGGTTCACAGCCATTAACTACCATTTAATTACCAGCGGCTAATAACCAGTAAATTGCCTAATATAGCGGGGTGGCAAAATGTGGCAAATGGGGGTACAATAGGTTTTGATGTATCACCCTGCGATTTCTGAGGGCGGAATTGTTTGTCAATGGGATATCCATTGAATCCACCGCAGGGTGGTGCCCCTAATCCTTAGCTAAGTTGGTGCAAATAACTCCAATAACTCCGGTTCATGGTGGTTATATATATATGTATGTATGTATGTATATATATATTAATTATAGTTATTGGGGATTATAAACGGACTTATAACTTGGGGTACCACCCTGTGGTAAATCATATGCCCAAGTGGTGGTATACCACATTTTCAGACACACCCACCCAAATCAAGCCAGCGACGCAGCAGCGTTTTCAGGAAAGAGGAACGTTTCTTGCAGAAGTGGCCACTTCATCACAGTGTTTTGTCTGCGATTTGCGCACGTTTTTTCGAATTGGTGAATGGTCGGTGAAGTTGAGGAGAAATCGATGGATACAACTGTCCGCTCATTTGTTGGGCGGAAAGTGGGCGGGATGACTAATTCCTTCCCACTACGGAGTCCCCCCCTCCCCAAATAATAAACATGAATTTTAGTATGATTGGTAGTTTGGAACATTTTTTATTCTTCCATATATTGGGAATTTCATCATCCCAACTGACATATTTTTCAGAGGAGTAGGTATACCACCAACCAGTGTTGTTTCCCATGGTTTTCCCTTGGGGTGAGATAACTAAAAAGGTAGAAAGCCTCCTTCGGGACAGCCCTTAAAGTTGGAGATTCTAATCTCCCATGAAAAATCCCACAGTTTTCGTGGTGAAACCATGTGAAACTGTGAAACCATCATGTGTTGTTGGTGAAACCGATTTCAATCCACCGTTTTCTGTGAGGTAAATCACGGGAAATCACCATGTTTCTTGGAATCATGGGAACAAAACAACCCTAATTTTAGTTGGTCAAAGCTGAAAAATCTTTTCGTTAACGGCATCACCTTAAGGCGCCAAAGGCACCTTGCTGCTTCATGCCTTGGGCCCGAAATGGCGCCAGCTGCGCTACACCGAACGCTGCTTCTGGTCGCGCCAGGGGAATGGCCAAGGGATGCTGAACGAAAAAATATGGGGGAGATCTCTAAGTTGATGGAGTTTCTGGATAGTATAGTCTATATCTAGAATTTGACGAACTCTAGCAGGAAGTCTATATCTAGAGTTTAAGTGTAACTATGGACTATGGATTTAATGATGTTCAATGGAGTTGAATGGAGGTTTAATGAGGGTCGAATGGGATTTATAGTCCAAGTTTGGATTTTAATATCCAGTGGTGATCATCAACAGCTAGTCCTGGGTATCATGGGAATATGATGGGGAAAAACTGGATACTGAACAATTGCAAACTGTCTGATCTAACCGGTGGTGAATGGAGGGAGCGGTTCTGAGGAGCTATGGTTCAGGGGTTGGTAAATGTCCTAATTTTTCACATCACCAAACTATTGAATTATTGGCCAGAGCTATCATAAATCCATATAAATGAGTTGTAGTTCTTGTGATGAATCTTATGATCAAGCCCTTCTGATCACAATAGAATCTAATCAGTTTTTTTAATCACTATAAATCACCATGTTTGGGTGGGTAGATTCCCTTTTTGATTGGTTAAATCCCATGAACATCAAAAAAAGTGATGTATTTGATGTTTCATGAACCAATTCAAATCACATTTCTGGTGCTTCAAATCCCCATTTTTTTCAACATAAATCACCATTTCATATGGACACGTTCCTTGCCGTCCATATGCGGAGCTGACGGCAGGTGGCAGACTGCTGGTCGACTTCCTTTCTTGGATCCTCGCCGTGGGTTATTGCTTGGTGGTTTGGGCCATTTTTCAGAGGAAACCACCAACCAAGAATATTATAAACATGGGAATACTGGGAAATAAATCCCAACAATATATTTAATTTAAGGGCTGCCGCCCCTGCCGCCGACCCCGGTAAAGAATCGGGGATTGCTGGTGAAACAGGCAAGCTGTGTGACGAGAAACTTTGGCAAATGCATTATCACAAGCAAGAAACCAGCAGCCAGACACCTTTTGTAAAACACAACCGAAACAGCAAAACACCACCTAATTTCGTGCCGAACATAACGCAAAATCAATCACAATAATAGGTTTTCGGGGGCCGAAACGTCCCTTCTGAAATCCTACTAGAAATCCAATTTTGTCCAATAGAAATCTAATTTTAGTCAAATTTGATTGATCGCTAATTTTGATTGCTGCTGCTACCTCTAATAAAGCAAGAAACCAGCAGCCAGACACCTTTTTTAAAACACAGCCGAAACAGCAAAACACCACCCAATTTCGTGCCGAACATGACGGAAAATCAATCACAATATTAGGTTTTCGGGGGCCGAAACGTCCCTTCTGAACTCCTACTAGAAATCCAATTTTGTCCAATTTTGATCTCTAATTTTGACTGCTGCTGCTGCCTATAATAAAGCAAGAAACCAGCAGCCAGACACCTTTTTTAAAACACAGCCGAAACAGCAAAACACCACCTAATTTCCTGCCGAACATGACGCAAAATCAATCACAAGAATAGGTTTTCGGGGGCCGAAACGTCCCTTCTGAAATCCTACTAGAAATCCAACTTTGTCCAATAGAAATCTAATTTTGTCCAATTTGATCTCTAATTTTGATTGCTGCTACTGCCTCTAATAAAGTAAGAAACCAGCAGCCAGACACCTAATTTCGTGCCGAACATGACGCAAAATCAATCACAATAATATACCAATGTTTATAGTTTTCGACCAATGTTTATACCACTGTTTGTTGCTGCTGTTGCCTCTAATAAAGCGAGAAACCAGCAGCCAGACACCTTTTTTAAAACACAGCCGAAACAGCAAAACACCACCCAATTTCGTGCCGAACATGACGGAAAATCAATCACAATATTAAGTTTTCGGGGGCCGAAACGTCCCTTCTGAAATCCTACTAGAATCCAATTTTGTCCAATTTTGATCTCTAATTTTGACTGCTGCTGCTACCTATAATAAAGCAAGAAACCAGCAGCCAGACACCTTTTGTAAAACACAGCCGAAACAGCAAAACACCACCTAATTTCGTGCCGAACATAACGCAAAATCAATCACAATAATAGGTTTTCGGGGGCCGAAACGTCCCTTCTGAAATCCTACTAGAAATCCAATTTTGTCCAATAGAAATCTAATTTTAGTCAAATTTGATTGATCTCTAATTTTGATTGCTGCTGCTGCCTCTAATAAAGCAAGAAACCAGCAGCCAGACACCTTTTTTAAAACACAGCCGAAACAGCAAAACACCACCCAATTTCGTGCCGAACATGACGGAAAATCAATCACAATATTAGGTTTTCGGGGGCCGAAACGTCCCTTCTGAACTCCTACTAGAAATCCAATTTTGTCCAATAGAAATCTCTAATTTTAATCAAATTTGATCTCTAATTTTGATTGCTGCTGCTGCCTCTAATAAAGCGAGAAACCAGCAGCCAGACACCTTTTTTAAAACACAGCCGAAACAGCAAAACACCACCCAATTTCGTGCCGAACATGACGGAAAATCAATCACAATATTAAGTTTTCGGGGGCCGAAACGTCCCTTCTGAAATCCTACTAGAATCCAATTTTGTCCAATTTTGATCTCTAATTTTGACTGCTGCTGCTACCTATAATAAAGCAAGAAACCAGCAGCCAGACACCTTTTTTAAAACACAGCCGAAACAGCAAAACACCACCTAATTTCGTGACGAACATAACGCAAAATCAATCACAATAATAGGTTTTCGGGGGCCGAAACGTCCCTTCTGAAATCCTACTAGAAATCCAATTTTGTCCAATAGAAATCTAATTTTAGTCAAATTTGATCTCTAATTTTGATTGCTGCTGCTGCCTCTAATAAAGCGAGAAACCAGCAGCCAGACACCTTTTTTAAAACACAGCCGAAACAGCAAAACACCACCCAATTTCGTGCCGAACATGACGGAAAATCAATCACAATATTAAGTTTTCGGGGGCCGAAACGTCCCTTCTGAAATCCTACTAGAAATCCAATTTTGTCCAATTTTGATCTCTAATTTTGACTGCTGCTGCTACCTATAATAAAGCAAGAAACCAGCAGCCAGACACCTTTTGTAAAACACAACCGAAACAGCAAAACACCACCTAATTTCGTGCCGAACATAACGCAAAATCAATCACAATAATAGGTTTTCGGGGGCCGAAACGTCCCTTCTGAAATCCTACTAGAAATCCAATTTTGTCCAATAGAAATCTAATTTTAGTCAAATTTGATTGATCGCTAATTTTGATTGCTGCTGCTACCTCTAATAAAGCAAGAAACCAGCAGCCAGACACCTTTTTTAAAACACAGCCGAAACAGCAAAACACCACCCAATTTCGTGCCGAACATGACGGAAAATCAATCACAATATTAGGTTTTCGGGGGCCGAAACGTCCCTTCTGAACTCCTACTAGAAATCCAATTTTATCCAATTTTGATCTCTAATTTTGACTGCTGCTGCTGCCTATAATAAAGCAAGAAACCAGCAGCCAGACACCTTTTTTAAAACACAGCCGAAACAGCAAAACACCACCTAATTTCCTGCCGAACATGACGCAAAATCAATCACAAGAATAGGTTTTCGGGGGCCGAAACGTCCCTTCTGAAATCCTACTAGAAATCCAACTTTGTCCAATAGAAATCTAATTTTGTCCAATTTGATCTCTAATTTTGATTGCTGCTACTGCCTCTAATAAAGTAAGAAACCAGCAGCCAGACACCTAATTTCGTGCCGAACATGACGCAAAATCAATCACAATAATATACCAATGTTTATAGTTTTCGACCAATGTTTATACCACTGTTTGTGCAATGAGACATAGAACCCTCCTGTTGCTCCTGTTGCTGCTGCTGCTCATGGCCACCACTTGAAACGCTGAAACGCCACCTAATTTCGTGCCCAAAACGCTCCAAAATCGAGCCCAAAAAGTGCCTAACGTCCCTTCTGAAATCCTAGAAAAAAAAAGAATTGCCTTTGTGATGATAACCGTCTTGTCAAACACCTTCTATTTCCTCCTGCTGCTGCTGCTGCTCCTGCTCCTGTGACTCCTTCTGTTCAAAAGGCACCTGCCGGATGGGAAAACACCATGGCAGTAGTAGTAGTAGTAGTAGTAGTAGTAGTAGTAGTAGTCCGAAACAAGAGTCAAAAGTATTATTCCCTGGCACGCTCCCCCTTGCGTCTGCCGGGGTCGGCGGATATTGACTGCTGGCTACTGGCTGGGTGCTGCTGTCTTATTCCCTAACGCGCTCCCCCTTGCGCAGCCGGGGTCGGCGGATATGGGGAATTTCATAATCCCAACTGACGAACAAACATATCTGTCAGAGGGGTATGCCACCAACGAGGTTATTTTGGGGGGAATCCCCAAGCGAGCGGTGGATCATCTGGACTGCCTGCATTTGATCGTCGCCAGGCTCGGTGGATTGCGCGGGCGTGGCCAGCAGCCAACTTACGTACATATGGAAGGCCAGGCTGACATATGGCCAGGTTTCCAGGCAACACACTGAGAATTTAAAAGTGTTCCAAACATGGCCATGCTCTTTGGCACGGAAGATGGGCTCAACGACACATGATTTGATCTTGAGCAGAAGAAGACCGCAACAAAAGTTGTTGCACCGGGGTTCAAGACCCTTGCTTCGTGACAGGGTACCAAGGTTATGAGGACAAGATGGCCAACGGTCTTGCGATTACTTCCTGGTGGATTCCGCTTGGCCGAAGTCAACAGTGAGCATGTACAACAAGAGCAAGAAGCCCGCGTGTGCTTGGGAAGACTTTCCTTACACCAAAACTGGTGTCATCTGGTGTCATAATCCCTGGAGTTTTGAAGAAGGCCTTGGTGAAATCGGCAACAAAGGTAGAAACCTTTGGGGATGGACTTGTTACATGGTTTAGAGTGGAAAATCCCAATCTTAAAATGGGGTCCCCCCCTTTTCAGGAAACCTCCATTTTGGAGATGCTATAATGTTTGGAAATGCTCGGAAAATGCGAAGAGTTAGGAAATGTTGGGAATCGTAGATGTTAGGAACATGTTGAGCATACTTTGTCATCAAGACATACTCGTACTGGATGTTCCAAACTCGTGCCATAATGTCAGGAAGGAAAATGTTGGAAGCAGTTGGGAATGTTCCACTTTATGGTTTTTGCTGGTTATATGTTCTATACGCGTTTTGCTTTAAAGAAAGGTCTTAAGCTGATGCTGGACAGCAATGGCTTATTGTCCTGACAATTCCATGCCTAGATGCTGAGATTATTCGCGAACATTTGACGTTTGAATCTATTAAAAGAACATCAACATGGCCAAACGTTTGAATCCATATAGTAATAGTGAACCTTACAACAATATAGCTATTGGAAGGCCGTGTTGACGTTTGTCCTTTCTACCCCCTCCCGGTGAGTTCTATCATGAGATCGTCTCGGCTCACGACTCGACGGGTCGTCTCCAAAATATATGCTCCCTCGATATGGGACCCAAAGTAACCATATTTTTATACCAAACACGGATTTTATGAACGGTTTTTATTACATTAAGAAAACTTCATGATATGTTATCAGAATCATTTCCATCATGTAAGTTGCTTGATTTTTGGTAGTACTATGATGATTATTATGTTTTTGTTTCTTTCATTAGTTTATATGTTAAAATAATAGTAACACTAAAGCTTATTCTATCATATCATATTGTAAACTATTTGAATTAAACGGATATAAGAGATGATAATTCTCATATTTCATATTACCGTTTTTTTTTAATGATTTTTAAGTATTATCATCAAGGGCACATACAACGTGAAATATAGCGCATTATTTCATACCATATTTTGTGATAATATTACGGTACTATCAGTTGGAAGGGAAGGGGTCGGCATACTTCATCCCCATCTCGGATCAGGACCGCATTCATCAAGCCTTCGGTGAAGCCATCGCCTGGTCCTTCGGATGGCAAGCGTCTCGGCGTGCCCAAAAAGAATTTTGGGTCACCCTGGATAAACATATATTTTTTTTTCATATGTATATATATATATATATTTACATATATACATATATTTACACATATATATATAGATTTACATATATATGTATATACATACATATACATATATATATATATGCATATATACATACATATGTTCAAATGAATAGATTTACATTTATATACATTCACATATATATCCACTTTCATATATATATATATATTTATATTAATACATATATATACATCTTTCGATATATATATATATAGATATACATATTTAAATAGGTATACATATTTCAACATATTTGAATATGTATATATGTTTATTTCAATATCTACATAAATAAATACATATATACATATATATATATATGCATATATATATATGTATTTACATATATATATATATACATATATATATATACATATAAACTTTTGCAATCGATTATGGGGCTCTGGACTTGGATTATGGGTCTTCCACATGTGGTTTCATGGACCTTTTTCTTTACATAAATCAACCTAAATCAACCCTTCCTTTGAAAGGTTTTGACGGTTTTGATGTTAATACAGGTAGCCTGCTAAGATTGCTAAGATATGACCATGCCGACAACTAAGATTCCTTCGACCAATGAGATCATTGGCCCGCAATTCTTATTTAACCAATTGGGACCCTTTAGCCCTTTAGCCGCTAATTGGGAACCATGTTCTTTCAAACCCTTTTCCAATTCTATTGACGCAAAAGGATGTCCAGTCCAAATTTCGAAACAACATCATTCCTAAATCGAAATTCTGTTCAATGGGATCCCAGATCAAACAACTTTAAAGTGATTGCATTTTACATATTCGGGATCTAATTGGGATTAACTGGGTATATGGAGGCAGCAGCGACCGAAAATGGTACCAGACACATGCCTTTTGAACTATAGTAAAGGTGCATAGAGCCAACGAATCAAGATAGTAACAATCCCCAAAAAACTCAAATCTGTCAAAGGTTCAATTTTGTTAGGATCTAAACCTTAATTTTTTCAGCAACTTATTTTACAGACTTTGTGGACCTTTTTTCCGTTGCGGACGATTATGGGGCATGAGACGTCCTGAGATCTGCTGAAAAAAAAAAATCGGCGGAACTTTGGGGGGCCTGTGCCCCTTGATCGGTTGCATTTGTTTTTTTACGGACTTTGTCCGTCGGCGGAACTCCACTACACAAATTGTGTACCTGACTTCTGCTGAAAAAAAAAATCGGCGGAACTTTTGGAGGCCTCTGCCCCTTGATCGCTTGCAATTTTTTTTACGGACTATGGTTTTTTGTTTTTCGGCGGAACTCCACTACACAAATTATGCACCTGACATCTGCTGAAAAAAAAAATCAGAGGAACTTAGTATTCAGACCTATGGTTCGGCGGAACTCAACATCACAAAATGTGTAGTGGACTTCTGCTGATTCAATGGTTTTCCCTAGGATTTCTGCTGACTTTTTTTTTTCCGGCGGAACTCAACATCACAAAATGTGCGCCTGAGTTCTGCTGATTTGTATGGATTTTCGGCGGAAGTTCATAAGTTTAGTAACAGAGCGTCCCTGCAGCATTTTCTCTCACTGGCTTGTTACTGACCAAGCTGCAATGGATGCAATGGAAGAGGATTGGAGTGAGCCTGAATTTCAGGACACTGAATTCAAAGTATGCCCCGTTTAATTGATGGACTCTAGGTCCTCTAACATATATTCTCAAGTTTTTTGGGAATTAAATCTTGTATGAGAAATATCACCCTGCCACATATATATATAATATAAATATCATACATATATGTGTTTCTATCCAGGTATGTATACACCGACACATAAAAGACATATGTGTATATGTAAATATATGTATATATATATATATGTTTGTAGGTCTGACATACGTACATATATATATATGTATCTATGTGAATATATATTTATGAGTATACATATTTCATCGGATTCAATATGAATTCGACACACACACACACATATATATATATATACAACTGTCTATATCTATCTATCACCCTGAACCACCTCTTGGTGTGTGTGTGTCTGCGGAGATGGGAATGCTGTGTTATTCTCTATTATCTTAAATATATTTTAATCAGTTTTATTTAGTATGAAGGAAGTATATGTTGGTATTATATCACATGACATATATATATATATATATGATCTAAATACAAATACACAAACACATATATATTGTATAGTTATATAATCATATACGTGTACCTATATACATATATATAAATATATTTATACATAGCTATAATTTCGTATGGGTATAATATGGGGCTCAAAGGATCCAAATTGATGTCCCCAAATCAAAATCCCAAGCCCCATAATTGACTGCAAAAGTTTATATATATATATATACAAGTACATATACATATACATATATATATATATACATACATGTATATACCTCTACTTTCTGTCATTTTTTGAATGTGTATATGTATATCTATATATATATATATTGATATTTGTTTATATATATATACATATATATAAATATTTACATATTTAATTACATATTTGCAAATATATTTGTCAATACATATATTTGTTTTTACATATTTATATAGATTCACATTTATTTACATTTAAATTTATATAGATATACATATATATACATATACACATATGTATTTTTTTATATATACATATATACATATATATGTATATATATTTTTTTATTTACATATATATCTATAGATATATTTTGAAACATATACATATACATATATATATATACAAATACGTATTTACATATATATATATATTTACCTTTACACATATTTAATACACATATATTTACATACATACACACATACACACACATATATATATATATATACGTATTTAAATACACACACACACATAGATACATATATATATATATACGTATATATATATATATATTTGGATATTGAAGTACCATAGGTTACTCTAGGGTTCTATACGCTTTTTAAGCACATAAATAACACTATTTATTATATATTCTGATAATAAAGGATTATGTGAGCAGTGTTCAAAGCACTTGTTGGTTGATGATCGTTTCAGGGATTATACTACCCAATAGCCAGTGGGGATTTCAATAATCCAAGAACGGGAAATCCCGACATAAACCAACCAGTATAACGGAATGATAAAGAGATTTTGAACACTGCTCATCTGAACCCTAGATAAATATAGGATTCGGCTGTTGAATTGGGGGGTACCAAGTATGGATATCAGGTTGCCATTCTTTGGACCCCCACAAATCAATCTGGGGTTGAGATTCGAAAAGTATTTCCAGGATGGTGTAGGTGACGTTTTCTCCCCCATTGTTCCAGGTGTACAACTCTTTTTTCTTAAAAAAAATGGGGGCTGCTATAACATAATTTGACAACCAAGCAATGGACGAACAATTGACGTTTGACGTTTGGATCATTTCATTTTTTTAATCTTTCGAAGCAGGACCTGTACCTGATCCTGAGGACCCAGGATCGATTCATGTGCAGGATTGAGGCTGGCGTTGTTGGGGAACAGACAACCTTGGATATGCCTTACAGGATCACTCATGTCAAGGCATGCCAGGGACACGATCAGACCCTGATTGAAAAGGTTGGCACGGCACCGCTGGTCAAGCAGAACATTTCCTTCGACTACGACTTCTCCGTGGACGATCTTGCCAAAGGGCTCTATATCCGAGAGTCCCGATCTACCCACACCTGACGGAAGTCGAGATCCCTGAAGAATTTCGCATCATCTACCACTACACGTCGTGGAGCTCTCTTCAGGCAATTATCTGCACCGGCATCTTCCCGGGCGCATCGTCGTGCAAAGGCCACGTGTACATGACACGACATGCCCCTTGGGAAATTGATGGAAAGGATCCTGGTGTCAGGACGAATCGTCCATCAGATTTAAGTACCGCCAATGTTGAAATATGGTAAAACTAATCCATAGACACGGGAACTTAGCCAATAAAATGTGGATTTAGCCACGGGAGATTTGGATTTATTCAGCTAAAAAAAACTCCAATGGATTCTAGATAAAATTGGCAATAGAACCTGATGGTTTTGTTCATGAATGCGGTATGGGCCGAAAAGGATTCAAATTGGCTTTTAATTGGACAAACCAAACATTGGATTGCACACATGGGGATACCATGTGGCTTTCACCCATGATTAAAAAAACCAATTGATGGCGACCACATGGAAGATCAAAGTAAACCTTTTTGTTTTTTGTTTCATGTACCGTCTGGTAAACAAACAGTTTGCTATTGAAAATGGCCATAGAAATAGTGGATTTTCCCATGAAGAATGGGTGGATTTTCCATAGTTGTTTGTTAACGTTTACCAGTGGATAATGGATATGTATACTATGTTATACCAATGTTATACCTATGTTATACCTATGTTATACCTATGTTATACCTATGTTATACCTATGTTATACCTATGTTATATCTATGTTATACCAATGTTTCCAAATCTTTTGACAACCCAAGATTTTGCTGGGATGTGGTTTGATGATGTGGTTGTCTTCATGATGAAACGCCGTCCGAAACCTGGGAGGTGCACGTGTTGAGGGAATTCAACTGGAATCAGCCTGGAATTCTGCCGATGGACATAAGATTAGCCATGATCCCCGATAATCAGCTCTTTTACCCTCTGGTAAACCAACCTAAGTATGGAAAATCACAACTTTTAATGGGTAAATCAACTATAAATGGGCCATTTTCAATAGCTATGTTAGTTTACCGAAGGGTACCATTTTTGTGATGCATTGTTTATTTCTTTTCACATTTATTGCAGTATACAAGTTTACGATATAAGCATACTGTAAATGATTTGCACAAATATTAATACATAAAGGATACAAATATATGTACACTTGAATGTGCATATACATACTGTACCTAGACCCTTAAAGTACCTGTAACAAGTGGGCATCCCCCCTTTCATATTTAATGCCCTCCAGAAATCATGTTTTAGTTGGGGATTGGTGCACGTTTGGGACCATAGAATGGCGGTGTTTGATTTATTACTCCCACGCATCCAGTCCTGTTGTTGATTGTAAGATATTTAATTACTTTCAATAATTTTCCCTGTAGCATTGCCACGACATATGTTCCTGGATTTTATGCAAAAAAAGACAACGCACAGATTCCATGCAAATTATACATAGCCTATTGTTGGTATCACTAATGCTACTGTTTTTTGTTTTTTATTAGTACGGGAATTTGTTTTATCAACGGAAAAAAACAAGTTCAACATTATATCAGTATAATCCCTTCCTCCTAATACTAAACCCCCCCCCTAATACAAAACACGGCAGGTAGTTTTTAGTATTAGGGGGGTATTTATTATTAGGGAACCAAATCGAAGTCATGTTAATTAATTAATTAAATTTCCTTATATAACGCAATTAAAATATTGCCAAAAATGGCAGTTCGAAGCTTACCCCTAATACTAAATTAAAACCCTTAATACTAAAAACTATTTTTTCCGATCTCAAAATCAATTAAATTTCCTTATATAACGCAATTAAAATATTGCCAAAAATGGCAGTTCGAAGCTTACCCCTAATACTAAATTAAAACCCTTAATACTAAAAACTATTTTTTCCGATCTCAAAATCAATTAAATTTCCTTATATAACGCAATTAAAATATTGCCAAAAATGGCAGTTCGAAGCTTACCCCTAATACTAAATTAAAACCCTTAATACTAAAAACTATTTTTCCGATCTCAAAATCAATTAAATTTCCTTATATAACGCAATTAAAATATTGCCAAAAATGGCAGTTCGAAGCTTACCCCTAATACTAAATTAAAACCCTTAATGCTAAAAACTAGCCCCCCTAATACTAAACACCCCGGGATGAATTAGTTTTTAGTATTAGGGGGGAGAACCCACAAATGGTAGGTTGATTTTTGAATTGTTTTTTAAAGGGGATCAATTAAAAGTCAAATTGGCCAAACTGAAATTTTCGGAAATTGGAGATGGATGCCTGTTTTTAGTATTAGGGGGACGTTTAGTATTAGGAGGAAGGGATTAATATTATATCAGTATTAAAATTTGTTTTCTTCAAAGCATAATATTATATCAGTATAATAGCCATTAATGAGGTAAGCCCAACAATGCTCAATAATAACCATTTCCCAATCTTATTGAAAAATGGGCACACATCATCCCCATTGTTGTCATTAGCATCATCAAGCCAAGAAAAGTCAAGACATCCAAGCTACCCTCGCTACCCTCTGGCAATCAGAGGTGGCAATGGGTCTGAAGCCAGTGGATTTGCCACGGTTGATGTCACTGGATGGTATTCCAAGTTCCATCATTATCATTATGAACAGTATCAACCGAGCATTATCATCCCCAAGTTCCAAGTGATCCAAGTGATTCCAAGTTATCAACCCGGAAAGGAAGCAGAAGGCCAAAAAGAAGGAGCTTGGGCCGAAGAAACGCGCAGAGCACCGCAAAAACATATTTGTGGGTGTGCTTGCCTCAGGACCCACGGAAATGAGGCCCAAAAGACCCGACTGCGCCAGTGGTTAGATTAACAGGCCAGAAGTAGCTCAAGCTCGAGCTGAGATCCACAGGCGCGCCAAATTTGACATGAAGAATGCAAGTTTCTTCACTTCAGGTGAACCTTTTCCTGGAGTTTCCGGGAGTCTGGCAAGGGATGGCCTTAGTCTCGGAGGTAGGCCCAGCTCGTCTTTATGATCACTGAATTAATCATGTTCATCGTGACATAAAGTGATTATATGACTATTGACTATTAAACACTATGAACAAATTCAGTATACAGTATGATCATTATGCCATATTATGACTAGTGTCGGTTAATCATAAACCTCAATTTCACTATTTGTATATAGGTGGTATGGTTACCATTCCCAGTCATGGGTGGTTTTTGACATTGTTTTACCCCCATTAATCATCATTAACCCAATTGAATAACTACATATAACTATTAATATCATATATTATCATGTTAATCACCATTAAACATTATTCATCACCATTTGTTTTAACCATGGTAACATGGGCGGAAAAAAAAACATTAGAAATCATTCATCACCAATTACAGCACCCATTGCTGGTTGGTGGTTTGGAACATTTTTCATATGTCCATATACTGGGAATAATAATCCCATTTGACTAATTTTTCCAGAGGGGTAGGTATACCACCAATTTATTAGATTATTATTCTGGTAGAATCACCACTTATCACCATTATATCACCATCTACCACCGTTTCCCCAGGTCACCTTCTCCGTTTGTCTCTTCGTCTTGGCCCTGAGTTGCATCCTTTGCACGGCCGTGAAGTGGAGCGCAGCGCGCCAGTACCGCAGCAAAAATGGGGACTGAACGTGGAGCAAATTTGACAGTTTGCTATACTTACTGGTGCTAAACGTAGGGAATGGATGGGAATGGGGGTTGCTGGGACTATTATTCATAGTTAGCCAGTGGATTTAGAACCAGTAAATATAGGAAGCCACCATTTTTTAATAGGTAAATATTGGTAAATATTTGTACATCATCATTTTGTCATCTATTTCTATGGGCCATGGCTTCCACTATGCAACAAATAACCGGGTTGGGTAACTGGGTAACCAAGAAAACATTGGGAATTCGCCAAACAAAATGGGAAGTTCAGTTTTTTTGTCGAAAAAGGGTGTGTTTACTTATGGTATCTTATGGTTTTACTATGCTGATAATTGTCTTAATCTGCTTGTTTACCCACTTACTTTGGATGCTGGAAACATATCACATATAGCTGGGAATAGGGTTTTGACATCTAAATATACCCAAATACAGGTAACATATTGTTGACAACATGGATATTTATTGCCGTTTAGCCAGCCTACTCGAAGATTTGACCAACCATTTGGTTGTGATTTTAATAGCTATTTGGGTTTGCTTGAACATTTTGGGAATTTCCAGCATGTGTTCTCAATTCGAAGAAGAGAATGACTATAAACTATGAGATATTTTTAGGCACTTGCATTTTTAGAGGAACAACGATGATATATAGATGGTCATTGGCTTATGAAATATTACGAACTATGGATTTTGTGATGGGCCAGCGCGTAGAAGAGCGTTGTATTAGGTCGACTTGGTAGATGGCACCAGTGAGAGGCATATTTTTCAGCCCTCAGTTGCCTGAACACCTGAACGCCTGGAGCTGTTAAGATTTCGGCTGTCACAAGCGTGCAAACATGGTGACTTATTCATCATTTTTGGGAATTGAAGCATCAATGTCGAGTGAGCCAGACAAATGAGGATGTAATGTGGTACCAAGAAAAACTACCCTCTGGTAATTTAACATAGCTATTGAAAATGGCCATGTATAGTGGATTTGCCCATTGAAAATGGTGATTTTCCATAGTTATGTTAGTTTACCAGAGGGTACCGTTTGGACTCATTTGGGGATGATTTTGGTACCAGATCACTAGAGGTCCATCATTACAGCGATGTCCTGCTTTCGGCCAAGGTATGAGACGATGATGCCGATGATTTCCTTCCTTCTGATTACATGGTGGGAATGGGATGATTTCATGCTGGGTACCCCACTCCAGCCGCATGCATTTGAAGATGTTCAAAACCAACATCTGATGCAATCTAAAACATAGCTTCCAAGGTCTACTATGCTGCATCGGAAGGTTTTATTTTAACCAGTGTGTTGAGTGAAACTCAAAGTCATCTTTGTTGGACAGGCCCCTACTCAAACAAGTCATGGGGGGTACCCCCAAATCACCCGAGTTATGGATGATCATTTTGCGCTTGAAACCCATAGTGACTTCGGGATCTCTCATGGTATGAAAGCACCATAAACCCTCTGGTAAACTAACGGGAGCTAACATAGCTATGGAAAATCACAATTTTCAATGGCTAAATCCACTATAAATGGCCATTTCCCATAGCTATGTTAAATTACCAGAGGGTATACATTATATAGTTACATCGTTCCAAGATTTTGCAGTTGCACCCGGAAAAATGATGGGATCACCAGAAGACTGGACTGGCCCTGGCACGCACCATGGTTGTAGAAGGATCAATCATTGGGTTGATCAAACAGAAACAGGAAACATCAGGAATCTATTAGTTTCTCCCTGTGACCATAGTGTTTCCTCGATGATTTCCCCTTCATCGAAGTCAATTGTTATTTTATGCCATGCTACTTTTTTTCCATGTTATTTCATCATATCACAATGGTTTTCCCATTATCATAATCGAACTGAAATCCCAGATGTTATCATATCTATATATATATTAAAAATAAAAATAAACATACTTGGCATTTTGTAATCAGATATTATCATCAATCCAAGCTCTTCCAATGGTGATCTTCGAATGGGACGCGCCAATATCTGCCAGGTGCATTTGCATCACTGAGAACCAGTCACTGGCCGGGCGCCCCAGCCAATCCCACAGGGAGCTGGTTAGTTCACGGCAAAAAGTTGAACTCAGAAGTGGCTAATCCTACTTACCCACTTGTTTTTGTTACTTAGGGTGGACCAGACAGTTTTAGAAGTTATAATTGTAAAATCTAACTGAAAGAGTGGTAGCTAGTTCTGACATGTTGTGATCTTTTATGTCTTTTTGGGGGTGATTAACTACAGTGGGAAATCACGGGACCAAGGGACCAAATTCTGGGTGCTATTCAACAGGTATTTTGGCGGGGGTTAAGAAGTTTGAATCTTTGATTGATAAAGGAATGGATCTCTACACCGTAATAGTGTGAAATAATTGGTAACCCAAAAACTTGCATGGCTTGTTTCAGTTTCAAACCATGAGCAGTTCAGTTGTCCGACCTATAGATCCGCCTTCTGCACTTCATGATTTATGTGTTGTTTTGCTTTATCACCATTGTCCCAGTCAAAATTGCCTAAACTTGGCATAAATTCATGTCAGACAAAGCCAGCCGTTTGTCAGGTCATGAAGAGGTTGCAAGATCATTGGCATCAGCTGGTGCCACCCACACCCAGGCCGGAATGGGGAGGTGACTCACACAAACCCGAAGTACGAAGATCTTGAAGCAAAATGATGGAACACGCTGCATCCTGAAACTTTTTGTGGGGAGGTTTGAATAATTTTAGCAGTCAGCCAGCTGCTTGCGAAGCAGTGAGCACAGATGGCTAAGATGAACATCAGGCCCATCTTTGAGTTTCTCATCCACGAAACGACCCGGCCCCGGCCCCATGTTGTTAAAATGATTCATCAATTGTAGAGAGATCTACTCAATATTACATCAACGTATTTCCTTCCAGAAATCAAACATGGCTTGCTGGAAAATCCCCCCATTTACGATTTTTCCGGCTATAAACCTCCATTTTTACGGGATTGTCCATTTAACCATAATGTCTCACTACAGAAGGCTAAGTCCATTAAAATGGATAAATCATCAAAAGTCACCATGAATCACCATGTTTGATGGGTAAATCATGGTAAATCCCCATGTTGGTTGGTTCAATTCCATTAACATCCCCGTATCAACAATGATAAATTAAACCATATACAGTACCTCTATTTTATAGTAGGTGTTCCCATTAATATCTCATAATATCCAATTTTATCGAGGGTTTTCCCATTCTACCACTAATTTTTGTTGGTTAAATCCCCATGAAAACAAACACGTTTTTGACCCCGCACCACGGTCCAGAAGCGATGAGATGAGCGAGTTGAGCAGCGAGGTCTCCTTCGGCCACTCCAGGCGGCTGGAAAATGGAAAAGGCAGTGTCATGATGGGATACATTAAACGATATCAGATGGTTATATATCATGGGTAAAACATGGTATAACAATAATATTATATGCAGCCAGGATATATATATATTTATAAATGGTATATGACAACACAATCTTATGGGATATATCATGGGATATAACGATATAGCCAACAATACTGGGAATATAATGGGATATACTCTGAATGGATGAAATTCTGCAACAGCTGTTTATCCCTGTTATTTATAGGCTTTCAACCATCCAAGGCTGGGTAGGAGTTCTCCCATCCACAGCATGAGTTATTGAAGTTGTGATTTTTGGGACCTCCAAAATGGCAATGTGCGATGCACATATAGCAATAAACCATTGGATATTATGAAGGCACCCAATTTTAAGACAAACCCATATATGGATCCGTGTGGATCCATATATGGATCGATGATCAAAATGGTAATATCACCAACTTTACAATGGTTCTCATGGATATATGTGTTCACCTATAGCAATTATCAAAATGGAAAGGATACCTACTAAAAGAATGGATTTTAAACCTAAACATTTGGATTTATGGTGATTCTAGCAGCTATCCATCAAGATTTGATAGGATATTCCATTGGATATTTCACCAACTTCATATGATTTTGAGTGTCTGAAAATGCTTCGTAGATCGTCTCAACTGGCCAAATTTCATGGGGATATGGCTCATATGATGATTAACCAATAGATCTTCGGACCCAGTGAAGTGTTATCAGATAACCTATCAAAATGAAGCGGAAACCCACAACACGGCGATCATTCTCAACATCGGGATTTCACAAAAAGGGAGCCATCCTGTCAAATGTAAAACAAAATCTTGACGAACAACAGGGCATGGATTTCCCTCAAACAACGGGGCATGGATTTTACCCACATTAGACTGTTTCACCCACAAAAAGTGAGGATTGTAGTGACAATAGTTGGGATTAGACCCAAAGAAGACGGAGATGTCTCCTGAACAATGATGTGAGATTTAACCGAGAGACATGTGAGTACAAAGATGTGGAATGATGTAGATAAAATTGTGGTCAACATCACCGTTTTTGATGATTTTAAAGAACAGAAAAAGAGATCACATCAACAGAGTTGCTCCAGAAACCAAACCCAGGTGACATGTTCTCCGGGGCTTGACCACGTTGCCTATGCTAAAGACTTTGCAGGTGGTTGCTGCAACGTCACAGCCAATACCAGACCGGGATCATGAGCAGACCGTAGACCGGGATCATCAGCCCGGGGAGAAAAGCTTCAAGATGGCTGAAAGCCATGGTGAAAAGAGGCAACTTGACTGACTTGACTGCTCTCGAGCTTGATGCTATGGAACCGGAAGACGGAAGCGGCTGATCTGCGGCTCCAGGGCGATGCCCAAAGCCGCCTTCAATGTGAGACTGGGACGCCAGATTTCTGGCACAAGAGGTGAGGATGTTGGTCCTGATCCTGATGATGATCATGCTGATGGTGATGATGATGGTGATGATGGTGATGATGATGATGATGATGACAATGAACACCTAATATTTATTTACATCTATATACATGATGTTTATTTATATACTTTCATTTGTACTCATATATATATATATATATAAAAATAAATAATTACTAAATGTCCACGTTGGCTATTTTCTTTGTCGTTCTAAGTATGATTATGTTTATGATGCAGCTGACAGTGCCTGTGGTGAGCCCAATAAAGTTGACTCCTGATTCCCTCAACTCAACATACCCATCTACAGGAAACCATGGTCTTCCCCATCAAATGTAGGAGTTTCCCGTAAAATTTCCCATCATCCTGTTTTTATCAACATTGGGTACATGGTCGAAGGAAGTTTAGAAGTCAAACTTCCGACAATATGGAGAGATGAAAAAGCAGTCAGCAGGGAGAAGAGTCAGAAGAGAAAAGATCAGAAGAAAGAAGATGCAGGTGCGCGAAAAGGTAGGAAAGTCGCGAAACACTGTGTTTTTTCGTGGTTTTGTGGCTCCGGAGGGTTGAAAAGTAGGCTCGCTAAAGCGGCGGGTGCGGAGACATCTGGGGAGATGAGAGATGAAAAGTTGCACGCTGTTGTGGCGCGAAGCCGATTTCGAAGTGAAAAGGTACAAAACATCGCAGCGTCGGACCACTTTTGGAAGTTCAGATGTTGAAAAAGTGCACGGCGTTGTGGCGCGAAGCACATTTGCAAGTCAAAATGTAAGAAACACTGAGGGGTTCGGACAACTTTTGGAAGTTGAGATGTTGAAAAAGTGCGCGGCGTTGTGGCGCGAAGCACATTTCGAAGTCAAAATGTACAAAGCACACCATGGTCGGACCACTTTTGGAAGTTGAGATGTCGAAAAAGTGCACGCCGTTGTGGCGCGAAGCACATTTCGAAGTCAAAATGTACAAAACACACTATGTACGGACCAAGTCAAAATGTACAAAAAACCAGGGGTTCGGACCACTTTTGGAGGCTCAGATGTCGTTTCGCGTGGCAGGTGCACGAGATTGTGGATCTTGTCAAAAGTGCGCAAAACATGAGGGTTTTGCGGCATTTCGACAAAAGATGGCAGGCATGGGACATTTGCAGATGATCTCAGATGATCTGCAAAGACGCATTTTCCGTGGCAGGCGCAGGACAAAAGACATGTTCATGAGAGAGGTTGGGAGATCAGGGCGCTGATTTCCTGAGAGCGGTTACATTGTGGAGTATCAGAAATGTAGGTTGGCGTCCGCTTTCTGCATCGGTTTTGTCTCCGAAACATGCAACCGTAGCGCAGTGGGAACTCTCGCAGGTATCAGTTTTGGAAGCACGACTTTCAATGGAGCGTGTGTCTTTTCTGGCCGCGCTCTCGAGTCTGCAGCATGTGACCATGTTGTTACCAGTGTTGTCGTTGGAACGCTGGAATGATGGTGTTAACTGACCCATCCGTGTCGCGTCTGCGTTTTGCATCCGTTTTGTCTCCGACACGGATCGTGCAACCGTAGGCCGACGATCGGTTTTTGAAGCACAACAGGGGATAGGTGCAATGGGATTTGATAGCTAAATCGATAGATAGAGGGGTAAATAGATCGATAGATACATAGACAGATCGATGCATCGCAAGATCCATAAATACATCGAGAGATAAATCGAAAGATGGGTGGCTAGATAGAGAGACAGATCGATCAATAGACAGGTAGATGGATCGACAGATGGACACATAGATCGCTAGATCGAAAGATCGCTAGAAGCGTCGATGACCAGATAAACGCATCGGTAGCTAGATAGATGGATGGATAGCTGGAAGAAGAGGTAGACGGACAGATGCATGGATGAATCGATAGAGAAACAGAACGAAGAACATGGTGATGGATAGCTGTGGACATGGATCGATGAAGAGATGGACTAACAGAGAGAAGTAAGTGGATGGATGAATGGCTGGATAGACAGAAAGATGGACAGTTTAATAGTTAGGTGAATAAACAAATCGATCGATAGATACATGAATAGACAGGTAGATAGGTAGATGGCTAGAAAGGTATCTCTGTAGATAGATGGCGAAAGAGAGACACAGAGAGAAAGAGAGAAAGAGAGACAGAAAGGCAGAAACACTCAACCACCTTTCAATCCGTCAGTGGGTTCGCTCTGCCATTTTTGCGTCACAGCAAGTCACCTCTCCTATAGGTTTTCCATTTTTGAAACTTCCGCCACCGCCTTGTGCGGTACTACTGGTATGTAACCCCAACATTGATTATTTTCATACCAACAATTGGCCAACGTATGTGGTCCGCTGGGTCTTAAACATCTTAAACCATTGAGCGGCCAAATGACATGATTTATAGATTTGCAATAATTATCCAAGAATAGGTCGAGGGAAAATTGTGCCATACAGACCAGTGTTGAAAAATGGTTTCTGATGTGTAAGAATTCACTTCAACCAATCCAACGACAAGACTATTGGGTGTTTCTCAAACTTAGAGTGCACCATTTCACCATGTTTTCCCCTATTAAATACGACTGATCACTTTGATGAATGACACTTTGACGGGTTCCCAAACAAATTTGAGTCACCCCCGAATTAAGCCCAATTCAACGTACTCGCAGCCACAATGAACATTAATGAACCATGACCACAATTCATCATCAGTACGCATCAGTATTAACCACGGTCACTTGTATATTACTATGCATCAGTATAAACAAACACTATGGCAACTCTGTCATATACTCAACAAATGGGAATCATTCACTGACAAGACCCATGTGTGGATCAAACCCACAAAAAGAACCCAATATTTGGGGGTGAATGAACATCCATTTACCAACTACATCCCAGCTATTTTGCTGTGAAGAGAAGGGAATTCCATGCTTTGACATCTGGTCCCCTGGAAAAACGCCAGAGGCGGATGAGCGCCGGACGACGGTTCGGACGGTTCGGACGGTTCGGGTTTCCCAGTCTCAAAGAGGGATTAAACATCCGGGCCAGTTGGTCGCGCTTGAAGCGTCAGCATCTATTTGTCGCATGAAAACTAAGATAGGCATTGTAAAAACCAAACCTTTTTTTTATAGATCATGTTCCTTGGGAAACCAGTAGGTTTGAATTGTTTAACACTTCCCGTTAAATCTCATTTGTGCCTGCTTACCCTTCGGCAACCAAACATTCGAATGGAGAATCCTCTTTAATTTTAGATATGTTGTTTTTCCGTGTTTTCCCATTAAACCCTCCATTTCGTTAGGAGATTTTCCACCTAGCCACGTTTGATGCCACCAGCGGATAAACCAGTTTATTTCCTCCCACATCATGTGTTCTTCATGAAATGCCCAAAAAATATATATCCATCAATTCGGCTGATCAAATCCCATAAAATCCCATGTCTGATGGATAGATTAAAAAAAAACATTTTCGAAACCCCATGAAACTGATGGTGACACGATGTTGAAAACAATCCCATTAGAAAATCCCCAAATCCAATTGGATTGTCCCAGGTCTCCCAACATCTCCCCAGTCCTTTCCCAAGTTTCAGTACGCTTCCAAGGTGGCAGCACTGCGGCCAGAACTGTCTCAGCTTTCTGCGCCGCAACTTTCGCTTCCAGCTCTGCTGCGTGGCCCGGCATTGCCGTCATTGGTCACCGCAAAAAAGGAAAGAGATGGACACATGGGAAGAAAATCAAGACAAATGGTGATTTGATCGGATTTATTGACTTTGACCAACAAAAACTGGGATTTGAATGGATTTAACCAACAACAAAGAGGGTTTCCTAAAAAAAATGGTATGTCATGGTTTATTCATAGTATTTTATGGGTTATTCATGGGATTCGTTGGGGATATCGACCAACTATAGCTAAGTTGACGCAAATAACTTGGGGGTGTGGATGAGTTTTTGCCAGACATTTTGTATGGCAGCATCCAATGCACCAAACCACTAATGTTAGAAAGGTGGCTGGGGACGGATGCCATCCAATTTCGGAAATGAACTGCTTTATTTGCTGAATTCACTTTGTCGAACCTGAGGGAACAATTACAATGAACCATGTAATCGTAGGTTTTTGATTGGTTGTTGTAGATGTAGTTATAATCTCGTTGAATATCCATATATGGATTGGTTGGCAACCAGCGTTTACAATTACATTAATCTACAATCGGTTGGTTGTTGATTTAAGTTGTGCTTCGGGCTATGCCCGAACCCATGGGATCTCCCCTGAATCTCGTCGCCGGCAGCCGGCGTTTAGCAACCCCCGAGGCCCCGATCCTTCTGATGGAGTGGCTGCTTCTTGGTTTCTCTTGGTGTCCTTGAAGAAAATCAATTTCTCTGCCATATCACGGCATGAATAGATTGTGGTATCCTGGTTGATTGTGAATAATTTTCCATGAAAAAGCCGCAAAAAGTGATGTCACTTGCTACTCACATGGTATCCAATGAAAATCTCGCCCAGTTGCGAATCAAAATGAGGGAGAGTTCTTGGAGGATCATCCCACTCAGTGAGATGGTGATGACGTCCGTGTAGGCACCTAAAACATGTTCGGAACATGTTCACAGTAGAGATATGTATGTTCAAACACAAGGCCTGATACAGTTGTGTGTTTGGTTTGTTCAATGATCTTAGAGCAATTGTAGATTGAGACTTATTCAGGCCTACTCAAAAGTCATCATTTCATGTCCTCCGGAGTCTTGTAGTCTTGACATGTTTCATTGTGAATAGTGGATAGGTCCCAAATATTGAGCTCCTTTGGGTTGTCAATCAACAAATCCATGACAGTTTGGGAAACTATAGAATTCAAGAGGACGGTGCGGTGCCCACGAAGTCAGTGGGTTATAGTTGATCCATAAGGCCATGATATTGAGTTGGTTATACTGTACTGGCCATCCATGATGTATTCTGAAGTTGTTGAATTCAATTCACTTCACGAAACTCACCTAGCAGCTTTTTCAGAGTGGTGTCCATCCTGGCACCATCAACTGTCCCAAAATCACTTTAGCTTGGAAAAATGGCAGGGAAACCCTATAGCAATTCGGGAGTGAAGATACCATGGGTTTAACGGTATATGTTCTCAACTAAGCCAATCCATTGAAATCAGCATATTGTTGGTTGGTCTATCCCCAATATATCCTATCTCATCTCCCCATTTGTTTCCATATACTTCTTCAAACATTTGCTGCTTAAAAATCTACATCAGGTATAATCCAATCCATTGAAACTGGCCAGATGCGCTGCTCTCCCCAAAAATCCCCATGTTTCGAGGTGAAACGGTGAAAACCCATAGTGATTTCACCAAAAACCCACTTGTAGGGGTTCAGACCCTATAGATGCAGTTATGGCCATTTATCAGTTATAAGTACTCATAAACCCCATTTATAGAATGTATAATCCCATTTATAACCAGTTATAACTGGCAAATGGCCATAACTGTGATGATGCTATAAACAATACGACTTAAAACCCAATGATGGTTAAACAGTCAGTGCAGACTCCACCGAATACCTCAGAAAAAACCAAGGTCAACTGGTTACTGCTCAGGTTCATCTGGGCCTGCTTTCTGGCCTTCTTCTGGCTCCAGCTGTGGACCACCTTCGAATGGGGCGGATGTCGCACCTTGGACGACGGGACGAAGGTTGACGACTTTTATACCACAAAACAATGCTATTTTCAGGATTGTTGTGGGTCATTTGTAAATTGCTTTGTCACGTTCTTTTCGACCATCCAATGAGATCCAACTTAGGGTTTCATGGTAATCCTGTTCGAGCAAGCGCGGGAAGAGTTGTTGTTTGTTCCCATCAAGGGAATGTTCGAACATTTCTCTGAAACATGTTCTGGTTTTCTCCCAGTTCCCGCCCCAAAAAAACGTTAGTTCTGCTGGCTCTGGGGCTACTTCCACGCCACCTTAGAAGCCAAATGATCATCCGTTGGGGTTGGGCAGATGTTCCATCCCCGCTTTGGATATGATGTTGGGTTTGACTATTTCTGGATGGTGGTTTAAACATTTGGATTATTTGCCATAATATATGGGACAATCCTTCCCATTGACGAACTCTTCTTTTCAGGATTGTTAAAACCACCAACCACATATATATAATTATATACATATGTGTGTTATATTAACCAGAGAGATATGGTGGTAGATGTGCACCAACCAGAGAAATCGTAGAGAAACCTTCAAGTCCTCCGAAAAAACCATCACGGATCCCCCCGGACGAGGAGAGTACAACGAGAGAACGGGCACGCGCGATTGCATGTCCCCCGAGTTCCTGTACCCTGTGTGGGGAAAGGTGCCTGACATTTGTGGACTGGGTCAAGGAATGGATTTTTTCAGCAGCGAGTTGAGATTTGAGGAAACATGTCCGCCATCAGTGAAATGTGGCATGACTCTTTGTTTGGCGGATGTGACACGGCTATTTTTTGTTTTGTATTATCATGTTTTGTCCAAATCTTGAAGATCCAAATGACTCAGGATGTCACGGGTGTGAAACAATCAAACATTATATTTATGTATACATTGAAACCATGAGATGGTCTTGGTGGTCAACTTGTCTTTGTTTGCCATATAAGGGGATGATGATGAATGAGATGACAAACATTATTCTTACGTAATATCAAATACCCTTTAATATACGTCGTGATCATCAATCCTAATATCAAAACATGACAATCTTTAAATCAATGATCATCAATACTCATATCAATGTGTCAATCCTGATTAGTCTATCCTAATGAACATCATCCGATGATTCGTGAAAACACAAACAGCGCGTCTGGGTTTGTGGCTCTTCGAGCTTGGCTCGCTTCGCTTGACCGGCAGGTGTTGGCGGCAGTGCCTTCCTTTGCCCAAGGCTTCGTCTTCGAGTTCGTGTCAGGGCTTTCAAAGCTGACCCTTGTTCCGGAATTTCGAATGACAGCCCCAAAGGTTGATGCAACTATCCCAAAATGGGTTTTACATGGGTTTAATACGGTTTAATATAGGAATGATTTTAAATTGCCCAGAATGTGTTTTGTTCTCCGTTTTTTGTTTGGAATTCAACGGGTTTGCCAGGTGACAGCCCTTAAACGATTCGCTTCGGTGAAGTGGAGGAATCGGTCAGATTCAGCAGAGCATCAGTGTGCTGAAGTCAGTGTGTTTCTCCAAGTTATGAGTTATTCCAGTAGTACCGCACAAGGCGGTGGCGACGGAAGTTTCAGAATGGGAAACCTATAGCAGAGCTTGGTTGTTGTGAATCACGGATGGCAGAGCGAATCCGCTGATGGACTTGAAGGTGGCTGGAGTTGTGCTTTTTGGAGTGGTTACAATGGTTGCAGTGGTCACCTGGTCGGTCACCTCACCTACCACTGCTGGATGTAGAGTGGTGTAGTGCAGCTGTAGTTGTAGTTGCAGTGTAGTGGAGTTGTAGTTGTGGTGTTGTGTAACCAGTGTAGTGTAGTTGCAGTTGCATTTGTGGTGGTGTAATCAGTGTAGCGTAATGAAGTGTGTTGTAGGGTAGTGTAGTGTAGTCTAGTGTAGTGTAAAGTAGCGTAGTTGTAGCTGTAGTTGTAGTTTGTGTAGTGTAGCGTAATGTAGTGTAGTGGAGTGTGGTGTTGTGTAGCGTACTGTAATGTAGTGTAGTTGCAGTTGTATTTGTCGTATAGTGGCATGTAGTGGCGTGTAGTGGAATGTAACTAGTGGTGGATGTAGTTGAAACTGCTACAAAACCTTTACGTTTTTCTCATTTGAGGGTGCACGATCCCTTGCGCCTGCCACGGAAAACGACATCTGACCGTTCAAAAGTGGTCCGAAAATGTGGTGCTGCTTTGTGCATTTTGACTTGGAAATGGGACGAAATGGGCTTCGCGCCACAACGGCGTGCACTTTTTCGACATCTCAACTTCCAAAGGTGGTCCGAACGTGAGGTGTTTTTAGCTTTTTCATTTGCAAATGTGCTTCGCGCCACAACGGCGTGCTTTTCATCTCTCATCTGGCCAGATGGCTCCGCACCTGCCGCTTTAGCGAGCCTACTTTTCGACCCTCCAGAGCCACAAATCATTGGAAAAACACAGTGTTTCGCGACGTTCCTACCTTTTCGTGCATCTGCATCTTCTTTCCTCTGACTCTTTCTCTTCTCTGATATTCTTGCTTCTCCTCTGCTCTTCTCTGACTCTTCCCATCTCTGCTTCTCATCGGTCCATATTGTCGGAATAAACTATATTTTGATTGATTTTGATTCACACACACATATATATATATATACATAAATGAATAAAAACAAATACTTATATATATATTATATGTACAAATGAAGATATGTATATGAATATAGAAATGACATTCATCTTCTATGAGCATATCACAAATTCAGCAAGCCATATATGGCATGTCCATAGCCCACAGCTTTCGAGCGAAGAAACATGGAATAATAGAATCAGTGTTTATCTCTGATTTCCTAGACGCATCCTATAATATCCTATCACTTTCCCGCCATAAAGTCAAATCCCATAGACTTTAGACGGGTCGCTCCCCCAAAAAGCCGAGGAGTGTCGCCTTTATTGCACCTTGGCCGAGGCAACACCTCATGGCGATGTGACCAATTTTTTAGGCGGTGGCCCCATAGTTAGATAACTTGCTAAGGAGGTTCCAGATGTATCAGGTTTTTATTTTTCGAACTAATGGGTTTTGAAAACCAATGAACAAATTTTAGAAGGGTGGTATAGGCACCTCGTGACCTGTCTGAATCATTTGCTCATTTGGTTGGTGCATATGTTCTGCCCCAGCCCTCGTTGGGATGATGGCGCGTTGTTGGAGCTTGTGTTGTGGGGCATGTGCTGGACAACGAATGAAGACATGGAACAGCATGGAACACCATAAAGCGGCTAAAAATGCTGGTTTCAAACAGACAACATGTTTTTTTCCAAGTTTCATTTACCTAGGACCTATAGATGGTCCCAAGTGAACTCATACTCGGTGTGAAGCAAAGAATCACCAGGTGAATTCACCGGGTGGGGCACCCGCTCCAAGGTGAAGATGCAAAGCTGGGAATCACAGGATGAGGCGCGAAATCACTGCGGAATCCAGTGGATGAGCAGTGTCCTAGAAGCCGCATAATTATTCCCCAAACAGTATGTCCACAATGTGGGGTTTTTACGGTAAGGGTTAAGGCTGGTGCTTGATCGAGGTGCTCACTCTGGCTTCCCGCCCTTTTTCCTGTAAATTTCTCGGAGCAAATGGCTCTAAAACTGCTCTTGTGAGATGCCCATGTACATTTTCGACTGTGGAGGCTCGCGCAAAGCGGGTGTTGCGATCCTGGGGCGTGGCCTTTTCCCTGTAAATTTCCTTATATTTTGTGACATGTCTATGTGCATTTACGACTCCGCAAGCTAGCGCAAAGTGTGGGTTGCGGTCTCGGGATCCAACTGGGGCGCGTAAGTTTTCCTGTTAATTTCTGCATAAAATGGCTCTTGTGTTTTGTCGCGCTGGTTCGCAATTTCGATTGCGCTGGTTCGCGCAAAAAACTTGCGGCAGTTGTCTGGGGCTTTTCGACTGCACATGCTCGCACCAAAGGTGTGTCGCGGTCTTGGGATAGGTCCTCCTTTTCAACATCATCACCTTCCTCCTCCTTCTCAACATCATCATCTTCTTCCCCTTTGACATCATCATCCTCGACATCACCATCCTCCACCTCATCTTCCGCAACATCGTCGTCCTCCACCTCATTTCCCGCAACATTATCATACTTTTCATCCTCCCCCTCAACATTCCCATCCTTAACATCATCATCTTCCCCCTTCTCAGCATCACCATCCTCCACACGATCAAAATCCACTTCATCTTTGCATTATCATCCTCATCCTCAACATCATCATCATCATCATCACCATCATCATCATCGTCGTCATCATCATCCATATCATCGTCCGCAACGCTATCCTCCTCCTCCTCCTCATCATCATCATCATCATCGTCAACCGCATCATGATCCCTCTCAACATTGTCATACATTATCCTGACACACACACTGTTTAGGGTCTCTTGCCGGCATACTTGTTTTTAATATGGTGTATGTTGGCATATGTTCATGTATGCATTTCCTTTTTATTTTTTTTAATGTATATATATATATATAGATGTGTTACGCTATTCATGCTCCATGTATACTTTGAATGTTTTTTCTTGGGTGTGTGCATACATGTATATCTATATACTTGCAGAGGTTGAGGTGTCAACCACGAGGTGCCAACCATGTTTGTTTCAATGATCCGGGTGATTTCTTTTGAGAACCGAGTATTCGGAGAAAATGAACGTGTGTTGGGGTCGAAGATTGGAACATCGAACAACATAATAATAATAATATATATATATATTATTATATATTTAGTTTTATTACCTTTATGTATGTGTATATATGTATATATGTATGTGTATATATATATAAAAGAAAAAACTCGAAGATCCTCATCAGATGGGAACTGAGTCCAGAACGCAACTAAAGATATGTTAATTACTCCCGCTAGCCTCTGGTCACTTAACATAGCCAGTATGGAACATGGTCCATTTATAGATGACTTGCCTATTCAGATTGGTGATTTTCCGTAGCTACGTATGATATCATCAGATGGTACATATCCGGTATCAAATAAGTATGTAGTATATATATATATATGTATGTATGTATGTATGTATGTATGTGTACATTTAATATTCATACACAGACTATCAGATTCTACCCATAAGAATAAAGGGTATGATTCAACATGTTGGTATGTATTGAGGGTCACAGTATCAAATAATATATACGTAACCTGCTTACAAAACCACCAAAATTCTGCAACATAGTGGATTCAATCAATCAAGGCCAGGTTTTTGGGAAGGTTCAGTGGATCATAGTGAAGATAAATGACATCGAATCAAGTCGTTTGACGGCGTGGCTACACAAAAACAATTGTAATTTCCACATGGTGATTTCAGAAAGGAGGGGACCTTACATTTTCAGATCCATGATCTATTTGAGAAAGGAACCGGTTTGGCTCTCTAGACGACTCTCTGGAGAACTATACATACCCATAAGTTTCTAGTTTCCAACATCTTTCAATATGCAAGGGCTGTGGCCTGCGTGCCAGATGCGGTGTGCAGCCGCCACCTACTACTTCTTCTTGGAAGTTTTGAGCTCAATGACTGGGAAAATCCACCTGGTTTTGACGACTGTGTGTGTCTCAATTTATGGATGCTGATAGGGAATTTAGATGGATTTAGCCCGTCAAATAACGGGAAACATATATTTTTCAGCATCCCTGGGATTTGGCCAAGTTCCAATCTCATGGTTTTATCATTATCTAAACATTAACTATCATTAAACTAAACCACACGGTTTTTGTGGTTGTATCCCTTTCTTCGTAGCCAGGCAAGTTCCAAAGGCTGTAGGATGTCTCTAAATGTTTTCTCAATTGGTTGAATACCATATCAGGAATGATTTAAATCTTATTAAACAATCAGTCTTAACTTTTAACAGTTTTTTTTTCTTCGTGTTGGTTTTTTGTTTTTGTTTTTTGAGGGATCGTTCCGTGGCCTTGTTTTTTTCGGTTGCGACAGCAATGACCAATTGCAGAAAGATTTACCCCGAATTGAAGCACCATTGTTGCATAGTATTGTTACATATATATATATATGTATATATGGCCCGTTTTTTCAGCTTGTGATGTCCATGGAAGAACTCTGCACCTCCGCCCTGGCGTTCTGAAAGTCTCCTTTTTCTCTGCGAAAAAAAACAAAAAACAGAAGTTGAGAGTTCACTCCAGGGAAATTGTTGTTGAATTCAACTAAGAACAGTTGGATGTATGAAATCAAACAGTTATAAAATCGGCACCCCATCTCTGTGGTTGATTTCAGTTTCAACTCTCCCTGGCCGATCCCTGGTCGATACTTTTGGGTTGAAGCGGTGAGCATTGGTGATAGCCACTAGCGAGGACACTTAATCACCGGGCGTCCACAGTCTG